CCACAATTTTAACATGAAAACCCAAAAGAAAAGACCCTTCAATCTACAACTGTAGCTAAAATGAACACAAGACTTCAGACCTTCAAAATTTAGATCTGGAGTAGTACTTGAAGTCAACTTTAAAATTGAATCATTACTGAGTAAGTACTGGTCAAAGAAATACAATACAATACAAAACAAAACAATACAAAACTATACAATACAATACAATACAATACCAAACAATACAATACTAAGCACTAGATCCATGATCTTGGTCATCTGGTTCGTTGCTTGTCTGGTTCGTTGCTTGTCTGGTTCGTTGGTTGTTTGGTTCGTTGGATGGAGTGTTGATTAGTTTGTTGATTAATTAGTTAGTTGGTTGGTTAGTTTTAACCTATTGGGTGGTCTGGTGGTTGTCTGGTTGGTTAGTTGGTTGGTTAGTAAGTAAGTTAGTTAATAGATTAAGCCTATTGGGTCATTGGTTGGTCGGTTGGATGTTCGGTAAGTTGGTTGGTTGGTTGTCTGGTTGTTTGACTTCCCCCCAAGAAAAACTGGAATAGTACTGGGAGCAGCCCCCTGCTAATGGGATGCAACTGATTGCAAGAGATAAAAACTGGTCAAAAGCGACATCTACAGTAAGTCCTTGAAACTCAACCTAGTCCCCTAATGGAGACAAATGTGATTTCAACAGGACTGTCTTTCTGCAGGAAAACTGAAAAACTACTGGGAGTTCCCCCCCCCCTGCTAATGGGATGCAACTGATTGCAAGAGATAAAACTGGTCAAAATGCGACATCTACTGTAAGTCCTTGAAACTCAACCTAGTCCCCTAATGGAGACAAATGTGATTTCAACAGGACTGTCTTTCCGCAGGAACACTGGAAGAGTACTGGGAGTCCCCCCCCCTGCTAATGGGATGCAATTGATTGCAAGAGATAAAAACTGGTCAGAGCGACATGTACGGTAGGTCCTTGAAACTCAACCTAGTCCCGTAATGGAGACAAATGTGATTTCAACAGGACCGTCCTTCCGCACGAAAACTGGAATAGTACTGGGAGTCCCCCCCTGCTAATGGGATGCAACTGATTGCAAGAGATGGAAACTGGTCAAAAGCGACATCTACGGTAAGTCCTTGAAACTCAACCTAGTCCCCTAATGGAGACAAATGTGATTTCAACAGGACTGTCTTTCCGCAGGAAAACTGGAAGAGTACTTGGATTCCCCCCCTGCTAATGGGATGCAATTGATTGCAAGAGATAAAAACTGGTCAGAGCGACATGTACGGTAGGTCCTTGAAACTCAACCTAGTCCCCTAATGGAGATAAATGTGATTTCAACAGGACTGTCATTCCGCAGGAAAACTGGAATAGTACTGGGAGTTCCCCCCCCTTTTAATGGGATGCAACTGATTGTAAGAGATAAAACTGGTCAAAATGCGACATCTACTGTAAGTCCTGGAAACTTGACCTAGTCCCCTCGTGGAAAAAATGTGATTCCAACAGGACCGTCTTTTCGCAGGGACTTCACCATCTGTGCTACAAATAGACAAACCATGTTGTAGTAGTTGTTATTTTACATAAAACTTTACATAAAAACTTTAAATAAAACTTTACACTATACTTTACTCTACGCTACTAAAAATTTACAGAATATTACAAAAGATAAAATTTATTTCTCCCAATTTGATATAAACCAGTAGACTTCCATATTTTTGATTTTGAAACATGAACTCTATCCCCCCGGAAACCCAACCACCCCCCTCCCACTTTACCTTAGAGTCCAAGTTTCTCCACCAAAAATATGGGTCGGCCAACAAAAGTCCACAAGTAAATATCAAACTGGGAGGCGCCCCCCATCCCTATGCAAAACCAGGAAGGAATACTTAACTTAGGTAGCAGGAACGCAGGAACGCAGGAACGCAGCTGTTGTCTCGGTTGTGTCGTTGGTCATCGGGCTCCTCATCTCCAAGCTGAAAGGGAACCTGAAAACAGAGGAACTAACCTGTTGTAATAATTGAATAGAAAAAAGTACTTACTTTGGTGCTTTGGTGACAGGAACAAGAACACCTCTCGCCCATGATACTGTTTACGTGGACCGGACCTGATGGCTCAAAGTTGTCAAAAGACTGATCCAGCTGTCGCCCTAACTTGGTGTGTTTGCTGCATCTCTCTCATAGTTGTACCTGAAAGATACAAGATAAGAAAATGAAAAATACAAGGATGCAACTTGGTCGAGTCACTTCCAATACAAGCGGAGGAGGGAATGCAAAGACATTCCTTTCATTGACTCTAGTAAATCTGTCATAGCCTTATACCCCTCCTGGCTCAAGATTTATATCATCAAGTCAACTAACTGCTTGGGCAGATGTAACTCTGTAGGAAGAATGGAATAGTTGAGCATATGTATATTCTTTAAGAACACAGACCACATGTGAAAATAATGAAACATGGCTTCATGGTACATCTGTACATTAAGTGAAATCAAGGCAGTCCTCTTTTAGTGTATTTCTTAGAAACAATGTTTGCCAAACATACATGTGCCAACAATGGGATAAGAATCCCAACAATTGAAAAATCTGTCGTTGTGAAATAAACGTACTGAACCAGAGAGCAAAATCATCAAATGATAGAACTGATTATGTGTTACAGTACCTTTAACAAGATGGTATGTAGATATAAATGCTGCAGATAGGTAGGACAAATTGCAGATTCTCTGTGGTTTTCCTTTTGTGTTTCTTTTTGTTCTCTCCAAGGCAACAGGTATGTAGATCACAAATGCTGCAGGTAGGTAGCACAAATTGTAGATTCTCTGTGGTTTTCCCTTTGTGGTTCTTTTTGTTCTCTAAAAGGCAACAGGACTGCACCTGAAAGTACATTTAAGGAAAAGATCAGCGATGGTTCAATTAAAAAGAAAGCAACCCCGAAACTAAGCCCACAATTTTAACATGAAAACCCAAAAGAAAAGACCCTTCAATCTACAACTGTAGCTAAAATGAACACAAGACTTCAGACCTTCAAAATTTAGATCTGGAGTAGTACTTGAAGTCAACTTTAAAATTGAATCATTACTGAGTAAGTACTGGTCAAAGAAATACAATACAATACAAAACAAAACAATACAAAACTATACAATACAATACAATACAATACAATACCAAACAATACAATACTAAGCACTAGATCCATGATCTTGGTCATCTGGTTCGTTGCTTGTCTGGTTCGTTGCTTGTCTGGTTCGTTGGTTGTTTGGTTCGTTGGATGGAGTGTTGATTAGTTTGTTGATTAATTAGTTAGTTGGTTGGTTAGTTTTAACCTATTGGGTGGTCTGGTGGTTGTCTGGTTGGTTAGTTGGTTGGTTAGTAAGTAAGTTAGTTAATAGATTAAGCCTATTGGGTCATTGGTTGGTCGGTTGGATGTTCGGTAAGTTGGTTGGTTGGTTGTCTGGTTGTTTGACTTCCCCCCAAGAAAAACTGGAATAGTACTGGGAGCAGCCCCCTGCTAATGGGATGCAACTGATTGCAAGAGATAAAAACTGGTCAAAAGCGACATCTACAGTAAGTCCTTGAAACTCAACCTAGTCCCCTAATGGAGACAAATGTGATTTCAACAGGACTGTCTTTCTGCAGGAAAACTGAAAAACTACTGGGAGTTCCCCCCCCCTGCTAATGGGATGCAACTGATTGCAAGAGATAAAACTGGTCAAAATGCGACATCTACTGTAAGTCCTTGAAACTCAACCTAGTCCCCTAATGGAGACAAATGTGATTTCAACAGGACTGTCTTTCCGCAGGAACACTGGAAGAGTACTGGGAGTCCCCCCCCTGCTAATGGGATGCAATTGATTGCAAGAGATAAAAACTGGTCAGAGCGACATGTACGGTAGGTCCTTGAAACTCAACCTAGTCCCCTAATGGAGACAAATGTGATTTCAACAGGACCGTCCTTCCGCACGAAAACTGGAATAGTACTGGGAGTCCCCCCCCTGCTAATGGGATGCAACTGATTGCAAGAGATGGAAACTGGTCAAAAGCGACATCTACGGTAAGTCCTTGAAACTCAACCTAGTCCCCTAATGGAGACAAATGTGATTTCAACAGGACTGTCTTTCCGCAGGAAAACTGGAAGAGTACTTGGATTCCCCCCCTGCTAATGGGATGCAATTGATTGCAAGAGATAAAAACTGGTCAGAGCGACATGTACGGTAGGTCCTTGAAACTCAACCTAGTCCCCTAATGGAGATAAATGTGATTTCAACAGGACTGTCATTCCGCAGGAAAACTGGAATAGTACTGGGAGTTCCCCCCCCCCCTTTTAATGGGATGCAACTGATTGTAAGAGATAAAACTGGTCAAAATGCGACATCTACTGTAAGTCCTGGAAACTTGACCTAGTCCCCTCGTGGAAAAAATGTGATTCCAACAGGACCGTCTTTTCGCAGGGACTTCACCATCTGTGCTACAAATAGACAAACCATGTTGTAGTAGTTGTTATTTTACATAAAACTTTACATAAAAACTTTAAATAAAACTTTACACTATACTTTACTCTACGCTACTAAAAATTTACAGAATATTACAAAAGATAAAATTTATTTCTCCCAATTTGATATAAACGAGTAGACTTCCATATTTTTGATTTTGAAACATGAACTCTATCCCCCCGGAAACCCAACCACCCCCCTCCCACTTTACCTTAGAGTCCAAGTTTCTCCACCAAAAATATGGGTCGGCCAACAAAAGTCCACAAGTAAATATCAAACTGGGAGGCGCCCCCCATCCCTATGCAAAACCAGGAAGGAATACTTAACTTAGGTAGCAGGAACGCAGGAACGCAGCTGTTGTCTCGGTTGTGTCGTTGGTCATCGGGCTCCTCATCTCCAAGCTGAAAGGGAACCTGAAAACAGAGGAACTAACCTGTTGTAATAATTGAATAGAAAAAAGTACTTACTTTGGTGCTTTGGTGACAGGAACACGAACACCTCTCGCCCATGATACTGTTTACGTGGACCGGACCTGATGGCTCAAAGTTGTCGAAAGACTGATCCAGCTGTCGCCCTAACTTGGTGTGTTTGCTGCATCTCTCTCATAGTTGTACCTGAAAGATACAAGATAAGAAAATGAAAAATACAAGGATGCAACTTGGTCGAGTCACTTCCAATACAAGCGGAGGAGGGAATGCAAAGACATTCCTTTCATTGACTCTAGTAAATCTGTCATAGCCTTATACCCCTCCTGGCTCAAGATTTATATCATCAAGTCAACTAACTGCTTGGGCAGATGTAACTCTGTAGGAAGAATGGAATAGTTGAGCATATGTATATTCTTTAAGAACACAGACCACATGCGAAAATAATGAAACATGGCTTCATGGTACATCTGTACATTAAGTGAAATCAAGGCAGTCCTCTTTTAGTGTATTTCTTAGAAACAATGTTTGCCAAACATACATGTGCCAACAATGGGATTAGAATCCCAACAATTGAAAAATCTGTCGTTGTGGAATAACCGTACTGAACCAGAGAGCAAAATCATCAAATGATAGAACTGATTATGTGTTACAGTACCTTTAACAAGATGGTATGTAGATATAAATGCTGCAGATAGGTAGGACAAATTGCAGATTTTCTGTGGTTTTCCTTTTGTGTTTCTTTTTGTTCTCTCCAAGGCAACAGGTATGTAGATCACAAATGCTGAAGGTAGGAATCACAAATTGTAGATTCTCTGTTGTTTTCCCTTTGTGGTTCTTTTTGTTCTCTAAAAGGCAAGAGGACTGCACCTGAAAGTACATTTAAGGAAAAGATCAGCGATGGTTCAATTAAAAAGAAAGCAACCCCGAAACTAAGCCCACAATTTTAACATGAAAACCCAAAAGAAAAAACCCTTCAATCTACAACTGTAGCTAAAATGAACACAAGACTTCAGACCTTCAAAATTTAGATCTGGAGTAGTACTTGAAGTCAACTTTAAAATTGAATCATTACTGAGTAAGTACTGGTTAAAGAAATACAATACAATACAAAACAAAACAATACAAAACTATACAATACAATACAATACCAAACAATACAATACTAAGCACTAGATCCATGATCTTGGTCATCTAGTTCGTTGCTTGTCTGGTTCGTTGCTTGTCTGGTTCGTTGGTTGTTTGGTTCGTTGGATGGAGTGTTGATTAGTTTGTTGATTAATTAGTTAGTTGGTTGGTTAGTTTTAACCTATTGGGTGGTCTGGTGGTTGTCTGGTTGGTTAGTTGGTTGGTTAGTAAGTAAGTTAGTTAATAGATTAAGCCTATTGGGTCATTGGTTGGTCGGTTGGATGTTCGGTAAGTTGGTTGGTTGGTTGTCTGGTTGTTTGACTTCCCCCCAAGAAAAACTGGAATAGTACTGGGAGCAACCCCCTGCTAATGGGATGCAACTGATTGCAAGAGATAAAACTGGTCAAAATGCGACATCTACTGTAAGTCCTTGAAACTCAACCTAGTCCCCTAATGGAGACAAATGTGATTTCAACAGGACTGTCTTTCCGCAGGAACACTGGAAGAGGACTGGGAGCCCCCCCCCCCTGCTAATGGGATGCAATTGATTGCAAGAGATAAAAACTGGTCAGAGCGACATGTACGGTAGGTCCTTGAAACTCAACCTAGTCCCCTAATGGAGACAAATGTGATTTCAACAGGACCGTCCTTCCGCACGAAAACTGGAATAGTACTGGGAGTCCCCCCCCCTGCTAATGGGATGCAACTGATTGCAAGAGATGAAAACTGGTCAAAAGCGACATCTACGGTAAGTCCTTGAAACTCAACCTAGTCCCCTAATGGAGACAAATGTGATTTCAACAGGACTGTCTTTCCGCAGGAAAACTGGATGAGTACTTGGATTCCCCCCCCCTGCTAATGGGATGCAATTGATTGCAAGAGATAAAAACTGGTCAGAGCGACATGTACGGTAGGTCCTTGAAACTCAACCTAGTCCCCTAATGGAGATAAATGTGATTTCAACAGGACTGTCATTCCGCAGGAAAACTGGAATAGTACTGGGAGTTCCCCCCCCTTCTAATGGGATGCAACTGATTGCAAGAGATAAAACTGGTCAAAATGCGACATCTACTGTAAGTCCTGGAAACTTGACCTAGTCCCCTCGTGGAAAAAATGTGATTCCAACAGGACCGTCTTTTCGCAGGGACTTCACCATCTGTGCTACAAATAGACAAACCATGTTGTAGTAGTTGTTATTTTACATAAAACTTTACATAAAAACTTTAAATAAAACTTTACACTATACTTTACTCTACGCTACTAAAAATTTACAGAATATTACAAAAGATAAAATTTATTTCTCCCAATTTGATATAAACCAGTAGACTTCCATATTTTTGATTTTGAAACATGAACTCTATCCCCCCGGAAACCCAACCACCCCCCTCCCACTTTACCTTAGAATCCAAGTTTCTCCACCAAAAATATGGGTCGGCCAACAAAAGTCCACAAGTAAATATCAAACTGGGAGGCGCCCCCCATCCCTATGCAAAACCAGGAAGGAATACTTAACTTAGGTAGCAGGAACGCAGGAACGCAGCTGTTGTCTCGGTTGTGTCGTTGGTCATCGGGCTCCTCATCTCCAAGCTGAAAGGGAACCTGAAAACAGAGGAACTAACCTGTTGTAATAATTGAATAGAAAAAAGTACTTACTTTGGTGCTTTGGTGACAGGAACACGAACACCTCTCGCCCATGATACTGTTTACGTGGACCGGACCTGATGGCTCAAAGTTGTCGAAAGACTGATCCAGCTGTCGCCCTAACTTGGTGTGTTTGCTGCATCTCTCTCATAATTGTACCTGAAAGATACAAGATAAGAAAATGAAAAATACAAGGATGCAACTTGGTCGAGTCACTTCCAATACAAGCGGAGGAGGGAATGCAAAGACATTCCTTTCATTGACTCTAGTAAATCTGTCATAGCCTTATACCCCTCCTGGCTCAAGATTTATATCATCAGATCAAATAACTGCTTGGGCAGATGTAACTCTGTAGGAAGAATGGAATAGTTGAGCATACATGTATGTATATTCTTTAAGAACACAGACCACATGTGAAAATAATGAAACATGGCTTCATGGTACATCTGTACATTAAGTGAAATCAAGGCAGTCCTCTTTTAGTGTATTTCTTAGAAAAAATGTTTGCCAAACATACATGTGCCAACAATGGGATTAGAATCCCAACAATTGAAAAATGTGTCGTTGTGGAATAACCGTACTGAACCAGAGAGCAAAATCATCAAATGATAGAACTGATTATGTGTTACAGTACCTTTAACAAGATGGTATGTAGATATAAATGCTGCAGATAGGTAGCACAAATTGCAGATTCTCTGTGGTTTTCCTTTTGTGTTTCTTTTTGTTCTCTCCAAGGCAACAGGTATGTAGATCACAAATGCTGCAGGTAGGTAGCACAAATTGTAGATTCTCTGTGGTTTTCCCTTTGTGGTTCTTTTTGTTCTCTAAAAGGCAAGAGGACTGCACCTGAAAGTACATTTAAGGAAAAGATCAGCGATGGTTCAATTAAAAAGAAAGCAACCCCGAAACTAAGCCCACAATTTTAACATGAAAACCCAAAAGAAAAGACCCTTCAATCTACAACTGTAGCTAAAATGAACACAAGACTTCAGACCTTCAAAATTTAGATCTGGAGTAGTACTTGAAGTCAACTTTAAAATTGAATCATTACTGAGTAAGTACTGGTCAAAGAAATACAATACAATACAAAACAAAACAATACAAAACTATACAATACAATACAATACAATACCAAACAATACAATACTAAGCACTAGATCCATGATCTTGGTCATCTGGTTCGTTGCTTGTCTGGTTCGTTGGTTGTTTGGTTCGTTGGATGGAGTGTTGATTAGTTTGTTGATTAATTAGTTAGTTGGTTGGTTAGTTTTAACCTATTGGGTGGTCTGGTGGTTGTCTGGTTGGTTAGTTGGTTGGTTAGTAAGTAAGTTAGTTAATAGATTAAGCCTATTGGGTCATTGGTTGGTCGGTTGGATGTTCGGTAAGTTGGTTGGTTGGTTGTCTGGTTGTTTGACTTCCCCCCAAGAAAAACTGGAATAGTACTGGGAGCAGCCCCCTGCTAATGGGATGCAACTGATTGCAAGAGATAAAAACTGGTCAAAAGCGACATCTACAGCAAGTCCTTGAAACTCAACCTAGTCCCCTAATGGAGACAAATGTGATTTCAACAGGACTGTCTTTCTGCAGGAAAACTGAAAAACTACTGGGAGTTCCCCCCCCCCCTGCTAATGGGATGCAACTGATTGCAAGAGATAAAACTGGTCAAAATGCGACATCTACTGTAAGTCCTTGAAACTCAACCTAGTCCCCTAATGGAGACAAATGTGATTTCAACAGGACTGTCTTTCCGCAGGAACACTGGAAGAGTACTGGGAGTCCCCCCCCCTGCTAATGGGATGCAATTGATTGCAAGAGATAAAAACTGGTCAGAGCGACATGTACGGTAGGTCCTTGAAACTCAACCTAGTCCCCTAATGGAGACAAATGTGATTTCAACAGGACCGTCCTTCCGCACGAAAACTGGAATAGTACTTGGATTCCCCCCCCCTGCTAATGGGATGCAATTGATTGCAAGAGATAAAAACTGGTCAGAGCGACATGTACGGTAGGTCCTTGAAACTCAACCTAGTCCCCTAATGGAGATAAATGTGATTTCAACAGGACTGTCATTCCGCAGGAAAACTGGAATAGTACTGGGAGTTCCCCCCCCCCTTCTAATGGGATGCAACTGATTGCAAGAGATAAAACTGGTCAAAATGCGACATCTACTGTAAGTCCTGGAAACTTGACCTAGTCCCCTCGAGGAAAAAATGTGATTCCAACAGGACCGTCTTTTCGCAGGGACTTCACCATCTGTGCTACAAATAGACAAACCATGTTGTAGTAGTTGTTATTTTACATAAAACTTTACATAAAAACTTTAAATAAAACTTTACACTATACTTTACTCTACGCTACTAAAAATTTACAGAATATTACAAAAGATAAAATTTATTTCTCCCAATTTGATATAAACCAGTAGACTTCCATATTTTTGATTTTGAAACATGAACTCTATCCCGCCGGAAACCCAACCACCCCCCCTCCCACTTTACCTTAGAGTCCAAGTTTCTCCACCAAAAATATGGGTCGGCCAACAAAAGTCCACAAGTAAATATCAAACTGGGAGGCGCCCCCCATCCCTATGCAAAACCAGGAAGGAATACTTAACTTAGGTAGCAGGAACGCAGGAACGCAGCTGTTGTCTCGGTTGTGTCGTTGGTCATCGGGCTCCTCATCTCCAAGCTGAAAGGGAACCTGAAAACAGAGGAACTAACCTGTTGTAATAATTGAATAGAAAAAAGTACTTACTTTGGTGCTTTGGTGACAGGAACACGAACACCTCTCGCCCATGATACTGTTTACGTGGACCGGACCTGATGGCTCAAAGTTGTCGAAAGACTGATCCAGCTGTCGCCCTAACTTGGTGTGTTTGCTGCATCTCTCTCATAATTGTACCTGAAAGATACAAGATAAGAAAATGAAAAATACAAGGATGCAACTTGGTCGAGTCACTTCCAATACAAGCGGAGGAGGGAATGCAAAGACATTCCTTTCATTGACTCTAGTAAATCT